TCCCACAAGTCAACAATGACAAACCTTTTCGAACCAATTTTTAGCATTCTTGAAAATATTTTCTGAGTGAAACCTATATGTAATCCTACTGATCTTGTGGTTAAGTCTTTTATTTTATTTTATTTTTTATTCATTCCTATTCTTTCTTTCTTCCAAAACTGCCACTTAAAGTGACTAACAGCATATTCAAAAACAAATTTAAAACAATACAAACTCATTAATAAAATATAATTATGAGAATTATTGGTACATTAAACATTAAAATTTACTATATTCACAAGGTTATATACAGCACTGCACCACAATAAAACCGCACCACCAACAATTCCTAAAAGCCTGCTGGCATAAACATGTTTTGATTTGCTGAAAGAACAGGAGTCTCTTTAGGGAGGGAGCTCCAAATTCTTGGAGAAAGCACCAAAAAGACCTTGTTCCCACTAAATGAACTAGAGAAAGTCCTCTTGAGAAGACCTCAGAGCTCTAATTGGCCCATAAAGGGAAACACAGTCCTTCAGGTAACCTGAACCAAAGTTGTGCATGCTTGGATCGCACAAAGGAAGGGGCTAAGATAGTCAGAATTTCATGACAAGATATTGATCATTCCTAACACACAAAGATACATACATTTGTCTCAAGTTTATATAGCAGTATGGATTGAGAAATAAATTACAAAGATCCTATGGTGAAGAAGAAACTATCTGATAATACTGGTCTGGTCAGTGATACCTTACTAGTTCCATTGGACACAATTAATAAGAATATAAACAGATGCCTCTGAAACTAATAGGTGCTTCCAAAACTATCTTTTGCTGGGATTCTTCAAGTTACGTAGGTGTGTTTTGAGTGATGAGAATTTTTCTTCTCCACAACAAAACCCCAGGTTGAAATCCTTCTCCTTTATCACTTGTACAAGCCAGTGGTTTCCACTTCGCTTTATGGCACACACACTAACAATGAAGCAGGAAGGGGTATCCTTAATCATTTGCTCACCTGAAACTTTATCATAGATATGCTTCCTTTCTCTGTTTTCCTCAGTTTTTATCCTGCCATCTTCCTTTATCTTTTCAAGCATCTTTATGTGCCCTATTTCTTTTTGACGAATAGAAGGGTTTTTCTGTTTCTATGCTTTTGAAATCAAGAGCTAGCTCTTATTTTATGGTGCAGCATGATTGTGAAAGTGTGGAAAGAATCTTCAAATTATCTCCTTCAGTTCTGTCAGAAATGGAGGAAATGATTATCCTCTTAAAGACCAATACTTTTCTATGTTGTTTTAAATTGGAAATACTCCTTCATCTGTTATTTTGTTCATATTCTGGCACAAAAGCTTTTTGAGCTTTTAAGTAAATGAAATTCTTGCACAGAGCAACTTCTGAAAAATTAATGCTGCATTTAGAGTCGAAAAATCCCTAAGGAAAGCTTGATATTCAAACCCACATTTGGAGGATGTCATTGTTATGAATAGTGACAGCTGAAGGTGTGAGTGAAGTCTTTTTGTTCTTTCAAACTGCAGACCTATTTATACTGCAGAAGAGAACACAAGAGAGCCATTTTCATGACACATTTCCCCATCTAAGATATAAAAATTTATTGGCTATTGCATATTTTGGTTCAACAAAACCCAACAAGTCAATATTGATTGGCTCATCTTAAATGTCCCTTTAGTCTAAATGAGAAGAGGGAATGGTGATACTAAGTTATTTTAGATTCCCTTTCTGCTCGTGTGTGCAAATTATTGTGTGAAATACAAATGGTTTCAATTTGAACAGTTCATGGAGTTTGAATAAATTTATTGAACAGTGAACATGTTAACCTTTCATTGCTGAAATATGCAGCAGCTTTATGTTATATAGTAAATGTTACTCATTTTTGCTTTGGGTACCATGCTTGAAATAGATGAATATGTCCATAGTAATGTCATAAGAAATGTACAAGCATGCCAAAGGGCCTTCAATGTTGCATTCAGATGTAAAGGAAGTAATAAATATAATTGTCCAAAAGGAAGTTTACTGGATCCAGAAACTGTGTGTAAACAAACTGCAGAGGGAATATCCATGGTTTGTTCAGCTGCTCTGCTTATATATATTCAGAACCATGGAGAAGTATTTACTTACCTTACACCCAAATCCTTTAGAATGTGAAATGTTGAGTGCCTTGGCTCTTTTGTTATTGCTTCATTAATTTGGCATTGGAAATGGGTTCTGGCACCTTGAAACCTATGTAGGTAATTATATTACATTCCTCGATTAATGTCTGTAAAGGACAGATGAGTTTAGTCAAATTAGTTACTTTGAAATACATTTGAAGAACATTTTAAATACCTGATCTGACTCATGCTTGGCATTATAAATGAATTCTATTTCATTGGTATGCCACAGACCAGAATCTTGTTATGGAAATAGTTATACTTTCAGAAAGGTGTGTAAAAGTGATGTCCTGTCAGAGGCCCCATCTACACAGCCCACTTAGGTCAGTGTGGATGGGGTGTCTGACGACTTAAGTCATTGGAGAGTCAGCTCAGCCCTGTGGCCGCTAAATACCACACAGACTGATCCAAATTAACCCAGCTTGAGGGAAGAGGGCCAACTCTGTACCAGCATTTGGATTTTCCCCCAAGTTGGAACAGTTAAGACATCTGCAGCTGGTTCCTAAGCAGAATCAGATGCAGTTGTCTTGACACCCCTCCCACTAAACTGTGTTCAGTTTAGGTCCAAAATTATATCAGTTGCTACTTAAATTGCCTATCGTCTCTGCAGTTTCTCATTTCTCCAACCTGTTTGCTTCTCTTCATGTGATGTATTATCTAGCCTTGCATTGCTGAAAAACATCAATAAAATTCTGAAAGTAATAAAATCACAATGGAACAGTTTATGGTCACATAATTTGTACATAGCCAAAGGGAACAATAGTAAATAGGTATGTAGTGCACTCTGTTTTCATGTTATTGATTGTGGAAAATGTGCTTGCCTCACACTTAAACAGCTGTAGTTACTTCATGTGTATTCATAAATCTACATCTGACAAATGCATGATTTCCATAGGAAAACACTTCCATCAGTAGAAAATTGCTTCCAATCAAAATCCATTGTTATGTCCCGAGGAAGACAAAAATAATGTTTTCTCTTGTTTGTTAGTTCCTTTGTTTTATAGCTACTGCTAGTTACACACTAATAAGAAGTCATCTTTCTTCTAATGTGACACTGTTTTAAGCAGGGAAGATAAATCATTTTGATATTTCAATTAATACAAGATAAAATGTTTTTCCATCTCTATTGATAAATAAATGCAGATTACAGAGACATTTATGAATTCACCCATTTTGGATTTTTAGGTACAAGCTAGTATTGAAAAGATATTCAAGAAATATACCTAGCTATTATTGGCATGATTGAGTCTTTGGAGTTTTTGTGTTCCTTATGGTATTGTTGCTCTCAGTTTTGTACACGCTTTACAGTGCTTGGCACAATCCTAAGTGAAAGGGAAGGCAACAACCCAAAGGGGAGGAATTTCCAAATCTCAAATTAGGGCAGAAATGGTTGTAGTTGTTGTTTCCCTTCTGTTTCTCTTGAATAGCTTCTTTCCTTCAAACATTGCAAGACATGGACCACAGGGCTATCATACTGTGCTTCCCCATTTCTGTTAGGTTTGCACACGTTCTGGTCAATCTCAAGCCTTGTTATATAACTTGTTCCTTTTTTCACTTAACCACAGCTCTATTTTGTCTAGGGTCTAGACCCAATAAACTGTAATGAACCTTAAATAAGTTGTTGAGTTATTATGATGCTGCTTTCATTCAGAAGTAAAAAATGAATACACAGCTTTGGTTTGGGTTTAATATTAAAATGGTGTTCATTAAAAATGGAAGAAAAGGGTTATATTTCTTATGCCAAGTGGAAAGCATGTGAAACCAAGGCTCATCTTGTCATGATAACCATGGTTTTGTTGAGAAATGCAACCTCTATATGTACAGAACCTATGTGTGAACATGTCACAAACATCTAGCTTCTCTTCTTGCAATTGAGTACTTTTTTTTTGTCGTGTCAGGAGCGTCCTGTTGTGAGAGAATTAGCCGTCTGCAAGGACGTTGCCCAGGGGACGCCTGGATGATTTTTGATGTTTTATCATCCTTATGGGAGGCTTCTCTCATGTCCCCGCATGAGGAGCTGGAGCTGATAGAGGGAGCTCATCTGCCTCTCCCCGGATTCGAACCTGTGACCTGTCGGTCTTCAGTCCTGCCGGCACAGGACTTTAACCCACTGTACCACCGGGGGCTCCAATTGAGGACTTAGACTGTCTGTTTCTTTCTTGGAAGACACTCTATCCTAGGTTCTCTCCAACCCGATACTGTACATAAAAAGATTACAAACCAGATTTAATTTTTGAGTATTTTTAAACTACTGAAACCATGCCATGTGCAAATGATTACATGCTGAGGACCAAAGGCTTTCAAAGTGCTCTTATTATACATGTCAAATTAGAATCTGTTTTCTTGTGTATCAACTTGTAGCAGTGGGTATTTTGGGCATAGCTCAAAGCTATATTTGTCAAACTTTGGGGAAGTTCAATCTCACTGTTGGTAAGGAGGAGAAAAATGCAAAAGTGTTTTGTATTTGTGTGGGCATGTGTGTGATAGATTGCAGGCATACGGTATAAATTAGATTTTCTTAGAAGTATGTATCATTTTATTCTCTTTTTATCTCACTATATTTATTTCAATAATTACTAGTATTACTGGTATTACTAGTAAAATCAATAAAATACCTTATGGGTAAATTTCATGAGACTTCATGCTCAATATCCAGTGGCCTACTGTTCAGTTCCATTTGTTTCTACTCTGGCTTTTCCTTGCAGTTTTGGGAAGATTAATATTCCACTCTCATTCTCCTTTCAGTGCCGCAACCTTGGGGCTTGGCTTCTGGAACCTGATTAACTTGTATGTCATTATTTAGTGCCAGAGAATGAATTTCTGAATAAATTAGCTTCCTCTTTTTTATCTTTGACAGATGCAAGACAAAAGTCTACCCTGATGAACTACCAAATACAAGTGTGGTCATAGTATTTCATAATGAAGCCTGGAGCACTTTGCTTCGTACTATTTACAGTGTTATAAATCGGGCTCCGCACTATCTACTTGCTGAAATTATCTTGGTAGATGATGCCAGTGAACGAGGTATGAATGAACACAAATAAAAATCTATCAAAGAGTAAATAATAATAACAGCTGAGTAATATTATGGCAAGGTTCTAGAACTGTAACTGTAACTGTTGTGTGTAATAGATAGATAGAAGCATTCTGCACAATTTATATTGGTGTTGCTATGTGTTTTCTGGGCACAATGGTTTGAGTGGCAATACAAAGAATATACCATTTTACTTCCCTAGTATATGGTGGTGGGAAATAAGGACCCACCATTACATCTCTGCCAGTGGAAAGTTATTTTTGGATAATATAATTCAGAAGAGCTTTCAGCCATTATGGCCAGTGGCCATATTACCTGGATGATGCAGGGAGTTGAAGACAAAACGATAACTTCTAATGTCTGAGATATTCTTGGTTGTGTTGGGGAGATGTTCACATCAGAGACTTAATAAACAATTTTTCCAGGAGGTGACATAAAAACCCTCAGAAGCCTTCTTTGTTTACTAAAGTCATCAAATACTTTTACAGGCAAAATTATTCGACCATGATTTTGCCTGTATAATTTACTGTAAATAGCACTCTACTTTAATTGCAGAGCGATTGTTTTCTATGCAAATCAGCCATGTAAAAATTTTGTTTAAAAATCTTCTTTGAAGGTTTTTTTTAGTTGAGACTGAATGGCTGGTTACCTGACAGAAGTGCTTTGATTGTCAGGAGTGCTTTGATTCTGCATGCCAGAATGGGGTTGGACTAGATGCCTTTATGGTCTCTTTCAATTCTAGGATACTGTGTTCTAGATGTTGCTATCATTTCTGCTTGTAAAGTACCTGTTCAGCCTAAAAAGAAATCTGGAGAAGTGAGACTAACTATAAACATCCATTCTTCCTCCAATGTCTTATTCACCCTGTAAGGAAGGATGTATGACATCTTCATGGGGCCTCATTTGAGGGAATGCTTATACTATGACAGGATGGGTTTTACAAATCCAACATTATACTTCACTGGTGTAAGGCATTACTGATTAAGTATCAGCAATGCCATTCTTGAACCAAAGGCTTGAAATACAGAGGTAGGACAGAAAAGTAATGAGACTTGCAATGCTGTGCACAAACCAACAAGGCGGCCATGTCCCCCTCCACATGATAGTTTAACCCCTGCTGTAAACTCAGTACAAGTTTGAACTGGCTGCAGTTTCTACACAATTGTTGGGAGCATATGATGTGATGTTATATTTTTGAGGTACCTTATGAAATGGACCAGCAAAAATTAGAGCAACATTGTGCCATTAAATTTTGTGTAAAGCTTGATGCATCCACTACTATGACTTATGAAAAGTTATAAAGTACTTATGGAGAACATTCCTTACCCAGACCACAAGTGTTCAGATGACCCTTTTAGAGGGCTGAGAAAAAGTGTAAAATGACCCTCATGTGGGGAGACGTTTAACCTCAAAAATGGACGGCAATATGGAAAGAGTGAGGACTCTTCTGATGTCAGGTTGTTGATTGACATGAGAATGGTCATTATTGAGTTAAATTTGAACTGGTTTACTATCAAGCAGATTTTAACATAAAGTTTGGGCATGAGAAAAGTGTGCATCAAGATGGATCCAGAAAACTTTATGACTGGCAAAAGGCCAACCAGAGGGATGTGCATGTTGATTTTCTGAACCATCTTGAGAGGGAGTCAGTATTCTTCAGTCCTGTGATTACAGGCTATGAATCATGGATTTTCAAGTATGACCTGGAGACCAAACACCAAAGTTGGGAGTGGCACACTACAAACTTTCCCTTTCCCAGGAAAGCTTGAATGAGTAAATCAAAAATAAAATCGATCCTCATTTGTTTTTTTGACAGTAGGGGATCAGCCACTTGGAATTTGTGCTTCCAAGACAAAGTGTTAATCAAACTTTTTATTAGGAAGTCCTTGAAAGGCCCAGGAAGGGGGTGGCATGTGTGTGACCTGATGGTTTTTTTCACAGAAAATCACATTCTCTGTGCAAAAAGCAGAATTGTCTACACATAAAACAACATTTCAAGTATATTATCTCATTTCAGAAAAAAAGCAGTTTTCCAAGCAGAAAATTGTGTTTTCTATGCAAATCAATAATGTGAAAATATTGTTTCACTGTTTTACTGTCTATGTAAAAAGAAAATTTGCACAATAAAAAATGTTAAATATGAAAAAAAGAAAAAAAATAATGTGAAAATATTGCATAAAAAATATTCCATGGCAAAAAAACCCCAAATTTTTTCTGTCCAAGACATAACATGTTTTGTGTAAGAAATTATTTCCATGAGGTTTTCTGCACAAAATAAACACACAGAAATATTGATGTTCTGACAGCAAATAATCTCATCAGACCAAGGTTTTTGTTGTCAAAGTTTCTCAAGACTTGAAAAATCATTTTTCACATTTTTTCATTTTCTTTATATTTAAATAGCTACATCTTGAAATGATAGACAATCCCCACCACAACTCAGGGCAATAGACAAGTTTGGAGGTAGACATTCAGTAGAAATGACTAGAAGGATGCCAGTATTGATCTAAAACTTGGTTTTGATGCTATTGTTTCATTCTGCCTAATGGTGAAAATCACAGTCCTGTAGTTACTTATTGCAACTGCAATATCCTCCAATAGTTTTTACTTTAATAAGAGAATTCTCTAGTTCATTGATTTCTCTTCTGGTTCATTGTAACATCATGATCCTAGAGGAAGCACTTTGGCCATCCAATAGTTAAATCTCTCTCCTTGCTTCTCAAAGAGAGAGGGGGGGGGAGCTTCTAATGACATATTAGGAGGGGGCTGTTTAGCTTCATAATTCAGGATCTGGAGTTCTGTTTCTGGGAATAATCTTCCTGAAAACAGAACTGGTGGAGGGATCCAAAATTCAGTACAAAAACAGAATGGATTTCTGCCTTTTCACACACCCCTAGTGATATGAAGTTCCTCAAATGAGAAGAAAGAAAAAAAATACCCCTACAAACTAGAGGGTGGTAATTGCAGAACAAATTCTTTGTAACTCAAAGATGGAACAGCTGAGACCAAGGAAAATTAGTTTCCAAAAGAATGTATATCTGGGGATATGATGAAACCTTCTGCAGCGAAACAGTGGTAGGATGATGCTGTAAGTCCAGGCGTGTCATGCTATCATTGTTCAGTTTTGAATGGCTTCACATTTAAATTCATTATAAAAGCAGTTTTTCAAGCTCTACCTCTCTCCTTCTATCAAAAATACCCCAAACGTTTTGAGCTACAAGGAGAACTAGTTATTGTGTTTTAAAATTGGGTTGTTGTAGGTTTTTTCGGGCTATATGGTCATGTTCTAGAAGCATTCTCTCCTGACGTTTCACCTGCAACTGTGGCAAGCATTCTCAGAATGATTCCGGCCATGAAAGCCTTCGACAATAAACTGTCCAATTGATCTTAGATTCTCCTACAGACTCCAGGTATTCTATCTAAAATACAAAGAATACAAGGAGAGTTTTGGATCTGTATATACTCAAAACTTTAAAAAGAGAGGATGAGGGATAAAGGGAGGTGGAGAAAGAGCCATTTGTCTGTTCTTCCCTATTTCCTGTTTTTACATTAGCACAAGGTTACTTCTTAAGGACTTATACAGTATCACTCCCATATCTCTGGGCAGTATGTTCCAAGACCCACCTGCCTGCCATGGATAATAATGAATCCTATATTCTGATAATACATGGCATGGAGGCATACCATAGAATCACCTAGAGAGATCCACAAACACTTCCTGGGGGGAATATTTTTTGGAATGTGGATAAGTGAAACCATGGATATTGAATCTGTGGGTAAAGGAGTTGCACTGTATTCAATTCAGCAATTGCACAGGGCTCTTAGTTTTTCTGAACCAGCTTTGTTTTTTTTCTTTTAATCTATCAAATGATAAAACACCTTTCATTTTTTTTATTTCCTGCCCTCAAAATTGTTTGAACTTTTCATGTACATTTGTCAGTGTGTTGTACGGAGGGTTACCCTTTCAACAAGCATCTTAGCGATGCAGTTCTTTTCTTTCTCCTTTTGGCCTGTACATTTAATTAGAACAAACACTTTGTTGTGTTTCCTTTGGTTAATTGTGTTTGGCAGATTTTCTGAAGGTCCCATTAGAGAATTACGTGAAAACGTTGCAAGTGCCAGTAAAAATTATGAGGATGGAACAGCGGTCAGGGCTGATTCGAGCTCGACTTCGAGGAGCAGCGGCTTCCAAAGGCCAGGTCATCACTTTCCTGGATGCACACTGTGAATGTACCTTGGGCTGGCTGGAACCCCTGCTGGCAAGAATAAAAGAAGACAGGTGAGCATGAAAAGCTGATGCTATACAACAATTCATGTTATGGTGCCACCAGTTAGAAGAACTTTGATTACAAATACCTATTTATTTTTAAGCCACTTATTTTATAGCTTTGAGAATTATCTTCCATACTGAAAATATGCTAAGTCTCAACTCAAGGTCGAACCATCTTTTGATTCTCATTTGATCTAACCAAAATACAAGCATGGACATTTAGCTCATTTGGTTAATTTAAAAAAAACTTTGTCCTGCAAATTTCTTCTGAGTGTGGTTTTGTTTATTTTAAAAACGTTTACCACTGTCTTCTATTGCCATCAGAGTGCACTGTAACAAATATTTCATGAATATGAATATTTCATGAATCCATGAATATTTTTAACACTGTTACTTATAGAAAATGCAAAAGGAATGCTACATCTTAGCAGAACTCTTTTGACTTTTCTCTCATATAGGAAGGAGATGTCTGCAACATAAATTCAAACGGATCTCAAGGGGAGGGGAAGAATTCCCCTACTGCAGGTCTGCTGTTTTATTCACATGCTGTTATGTGCACTTTCACTTTATTAAACCTCATAAGATCCATCAAGAAAGATTTCATTAAAGAGATGACACTCCTAATTTTTAGCAGTGCTAGCAGTGGAATCCAGTGTCCTTGGATATTCAATTTCCTTCTCTTACTGCAGGCCCCAGGGCACCTTGAAAAGTGCTCCAGGAAAATAGAAAAACGTCCATAGCCAGTTTTCAGGCAACACAATTATGTAGGAAAGACCTGCACAACAAATGGCCCACAAGGGGGCAAAATTAAAATAGGCTGAACTTCCTCAGGCCGCATATATTTATTTATTTATTTATTTATTTAGTACACTTGTATACCGCTAATATCTCAGCCTAAAACGGCGACTCATTGCGGTTTCTTAGCACCTCACCAAACTACAGTTCCCAGGATTCCATAGCATAGAACCATGGCATTTCAAGTAGTGTCAAATTATTATTAATTCCAGTAAAAGCTTTCTCAAAACCAACAGGAGACAAAAATGTGTTCATAGCTTTTTAATATGGCTGTCAGGAGTGCTATGATTTGGATCTTGAGGTGATGGAGAACTGCTCCCTGCTTCCTGGCACCACAAAGGGATTACAGCTGGTGGCAGTAGTGGAAGAAGCTCCACAACACAGGCAGCGACAATGGAATGCCTGACTCTTCGTGCAGGAGGTCAGAACTGGGGGGGGGGATGGGGGCAAACTATGTCAGATATGCTCTCAGGATGCACATATGCTGACACATACACACTGTTGCATCCACCTCCTCCACCGAGGCCTCCCATTCGCTTGTGGCATTTCTCACCTCCCCCTGGAAAGAATGTCATTGGTTGGACCTGAGTTGAGAAAGAGCTCTCATTTCCTATTGGGTGAGGATCCATTCTTTATAAAAGGATAGGTGTGTCTCCATGATTCATGTGGCCGGCCAATCAGATTCCTTTCTCCAACTAGCCAGTCACATAAATTGTGATTGGTTGGTTTATAAGATTTTATATGGAAGGGCTGGTGGGGGCACTGTCAGCAGTGGTATTTTGGGCTGTCCATCATCCTTTGGTGGGCTGCATGTTGTGGAGGTTTGATATAAGGGAAGGTGTGAGTGAGAAGTTAATCAATGTCATATTGTATTTGCCCTTGTTATGATGGTGGTGAGGATGAAGTTAAGAATTGTTGTCTTATCCTCTTCTTGAAAGATCACTTCAGTTGTCTCCCAGGCACTATAAACATTTTGTATTCAATGCCCCTGCCTTTGTGCCCCCCCCCCAAAAAAACAGGAACCAAGGCTTCTGTTTCTATCAGCATAACCCTCCAGCTTCAAACCCTGTCTGTGTGAAATCTACACCCTAATTTATGAAAGCCACATGTTAACTGATTTTTCTGAGGCAATCCTCTGCCTTCTGATACATCCTGTTCTCCCACAGTGACTGGAAGCCTTGATGGCAAGTCTGTCTAGTTCCTCCTTTACAGGAGCCAAATGAGCCTTCTGTAGGAAGGAATCCCTCAACTTCATCCCTTTAGGGACCTTAAGGAGCTATGCGAGGAAGGGAGGAGAAAACAAAACCAATGCATCTAATAGCTAATACATAAGTAATGTCTTTTTCCTTATTGTATGCTGGCTTTCAGCCATTAATTACATTACCAAATTGATAATTTTGTTTTTTATTTTACAACCTGGAGTTTGCATATGTAGTTTATGTCCATTCAGTTTTTTGTGCCAGAAATACATGCCATTGCCTGTAGTCCATCAGGTAGATTTAAGCTGAATTTGAAAAATACTTCAATTTCTATTCAAACTGGGACAGCTGGATAATACCTTTATCCTTAAGAATGGTTCTATAGGAGCTATCCACTTGTAGAGTATATATAGATGAAAACTTATAGGTACCAATTTATTCTGAACATACCTTGGGGTCTTTTGCAATAATAATAATAATAATAATAATAATAATAATTATTATTATTATTATTATTTATACCCTGCCACCATCTCCCCAAGGGGATTTGGAGCAGCATACATGAGGTCAAACCCAGCAATACAGTAAAACAATATAACAGAAGAACACAACAGAAAATAAAATAAAATAAAATACAAAAACATTACCCTGTTAGAGTCATTTCATTCCACTTTAGCTGCCGTGGCACTTATGCACTTATGAGGAGCATTTCGAATTTAGTATAAACCCCAAGATTTCATAAGACACAGTCATGACTGTTTCAGTGGAATCATAGTGTTGTAGTTATGTAGTGTGTAAGCCCCCTTTCCTTTTTAGGTCCATGTGCATGGCTCCTCTTCAAAGAAAGCTGTAATAGCAAGTTATAATGGTACAGTGGGACCTTGATATCCATGGTAGATAATGGTACCGAATGATTTCCAGCAGAAGCATACTATATAAAATTAAGATACAAATGTCTAGCAAATACCTAGAAAGATCCTGTAGATGCAGGGGTTGCCCTGTATAGCACCAGGCTTGGGAGTGGGAAAGTAGGAAAGAAATTTATTTTCCCCAGTCATTCCACAAAACTGTTCCGCAGGATATAATGGTGCAATTATTGCGAGATTATTATCCTTACAGCACCTATATGGTAATGTTATTTGCTCTAGCTATCAAGAAATTACATCTGGATTTTTTAGCGACTGGCGTATATATCCAGCATTGCCCAGGCTAGTCACATAAGAAATGCATACCCATATAATGGTACCTTTTATAAAATTGTACAGTTGATGTATGGACTCCTATCAGTTCAAGAACTGGTAAGGATGTAACTCCTATCAGTTTCAGATCTGGCCAGCCGCATCCCCCATCAGTCTCACATTTGACTGGCCGTAATTCCCCATCTGGGCAGCTGCAATTCACATGGCTTGGATTCAACTGCCATCAGTCTGAAATATTGTCATACACATGCCTGCTTACCAGTAACTTCATCCAAACAGTCAACAGAGATGAGTAAGCTCACCTAAATTCAACAGTCCAATGTAGCCCAAATCAGCAGTCCTTGGAAGTGAAGACAAAATATCCATAAGTCAGCAGTACAAAGTACAAATAAATAGAAAATGGTGAGCTAACGCCAAGATCCAAAGTCCAAGAAATGGAAGTCAGAATTCTTTTGAAATCATGCCAGAATAGCAATATAGTCAAGTCCAAGGTCAGAAGCACAAAAACAAACAAGTGTTGGACTTGAATCCAATAACAACATTGTCCACAGCATGGGAGTGCCATTACTAATTAGATTTGTAGTGTGGGCCAGGATCTCAGCTGCTACCTGTGTAATGAGCATTTTCAGACAACTATAAAGCTCCACCCTTTGTAACTGTCAGTTTAATGGTCTTCTGCTGAGACTTCCTAGCTTCAACTTCACCCAGTGGAGCTTGCACAGTCTACTGAGAGGTGCTTGCTTCAGCAGTGGGCTCATATTTAGCAGTGGATGAGCTAGGCATGACTAGGATGGACAAATCTCTCCCCTATCCTGATTGAGGCTTTCTGATGCAGAGCAGCTCTCAGCATGTCTAAAGATGGGAAGACCTGGGAAAAAAATGAAGACAGAAAAATTGGGAGGACAGTTTTCCTCCCAATTTTTTCTGGGTTTTTTTCCAGGCCTTCCCATCTTTAGACATGCTGAGAACTGCTCTTCTCCATCTCGTCTGCTGGCCTTTCTAGCAACTCATCTTCCTCCCTATCCAAGCTGGGCATCACAGATATGGCTGGGTTTCCCTTTATAGCTCTTCTCTTAACAGGTCAGATGGCTCAGACTTGTTGGGCTGTAACTCCCGTCATCCCCAGCCTACCTATCAAAGAGGTAAGGAGGTTTGGAGATGTACCCTAGTAAGGAAGAGGCCTGTGCAATCAATGAAAAGAAATTTCAATACTCATTTTTTGAAAGTGTTTCCAAAATTGGACAGGATCTGTATCGTAACTATAATGATTTAACTACTTTTTCATTACTTTTTGTTAAGTAATTAATTGTGCTCCTTTCTCCTTCATTGTTAAAGCTATTGGCATGAAACTTGTTACAATTATAAAACACATATACCACTGTTAGCCCATCAAGGTTCAGAACATTTCACCCATTCACGGATTTTTGGGGAATTTACAAAGGTTTTACAAATAACATTTTTTAAAAAAACTACAACAGGGATCATTCCCCCAAATTTCAGAAATATTTATTCAACTACTGATTGTTGGAATTTTTTAAAGTTTTGACAAAAACGTTTTTTTAAAAGCTGCAACAGCTATCTCATTGAATGTCTCTCATGTTGTAACCAATTTAACTTCAATTTAGGGATTTCTTCCCAGCCCAGCATTGATTTACTTACTTCTATTGAAGTATCAGTCAATCCTCATCTTTGCAGATTCAACAATTTATTGGAACTCTGGCTGCTGCTAGGAGGCACAAATCTCTCCCCTATCCTGATTGAGGCTTTCTGATGCAGAGCAGAATTCTGGGAAACATAGTTTTAGGCAGAGCCTTTTGAATTCTCTGCCACAATGCTCCCCACCTTCCCAAACTACATTTCCCAGCATTCTGTGCTCTCTTAGTCTCTTTCACTCACTTTGTCCCACCCTGCTGCTTTCTTCTCCTCATGGTGGGAGGTCATTAATTTAAAGAGGAATGGCATCCTTTTTGGCTTCCCTCCCTTGTGCTGAAAATCAAACTGACTGTGATAGGCTTTCAAGCTTTACAGAATTCAAACAAAAAAATGTTAGGTGAGTTTTGATTCTTATGTTTTTGGGTGGCCACCCTCCCAAGGTGTTTCTTAATATTTGTGTGTCCATGCAAAACTTAGGAATTAGATACAGTTTACTAATTAGAAATGAAATTTTGCACACTCCTAGTAAGGAGACCGAGCTGTCTGATCAGTTAGGAAACCTGCGCCTTCGGTTGTTGGTGGGAATCACACAGATCTCCAGATGTGGCTGAACTGCCCCCCCCCCCATCCGACTAGTATTTTAAATTGACTCAAGGCAGATGTACCTTGTAGGAGCCTTTGTGGATCAATCAAACAAGCAAACGTACTTTGACCTATAGTTACAGTACATACACCTACTGTATGTACAATTTGTTATACTTCAAAAATTGTTGGAAGCCAATTGTTCTGATCTGGGAAAAGGTAAGAAACAAAATAAGCATGTAAATATGTACATAAATCTGTGTATTAATGTCTTTATATTTAAAATTTGGCTTTTTTGCTAAGTTGGAAGAGCTTTGACTAAATGCAGTGAAGATAATCCACTGTCAAGCAGGTGATTACAGGTTGTTGAAGAGAGCACTGGGACACTTCTTTGCATGGAAACCGTGCTGTTTGCTTATTTATTTGTTTATTTGTTTTCTTTAGGAAGATTGTTGTTTGCCCTATTATCGATGTGATCAGCGATGACACTTTTGAATATATGGCTGGCTCAGACATGACATATGGAGGTTTTAATTGGAAACTTAACTTTCGTTGGTACCCTGTTCCACAGAGAGAAATGGACAGGAGGAAAGGAGACAGAACATTGCCTGTGAGGTAAGAGGTAGGGATGCAAATGTTTTTAATAACAGCCTACATCATATGTGTATGTGAAAAATAACTATGCGTGTTTGTGTGTCTGTTTACAACCCTGACTAGATGAATGCACACAAGAGAATGTATCACATGGGTCATGAAAACAGAAAAATGAACGTGAATGTATTACCTTGAGAAAGATAGTTTCAACTGTCTTCTGCATTTTCATTTATTTAAATATTTTCACTGGATATTCTCATATTTGAATATAAATGATTATTTAATTTTTCCAAGTCTAATGAGAGGATTGCTGTTAAGTTATATTCATGTATAAGTTGTAAATTTTTGACACAAAAAACTGGGTTGACTTATACATGGAAACAAAGATGAGAGCCTTCATCCCATTACCCTGCTCTTGCCCAAATTGAAAAAAGAAAGGCAGACTTCCATCTTTCTATAGCAATATCTGTATTAAATTTACCATATACATTTATTTTTAAAATAAAGTATGTTGCTGCTTAGCCCTCAGCAAATGCAACTTCCCTTGAGTGTTTGAATCTGGTGCATTTTTTCAACCAAGTGGTATCTTTACTTCTCACCAATACTTTTCAGTTAGGAGAGATGAAAAACTGGAATTTTTACTTCAGTTTTACCTCAGACAGAATTGTAATGCTATTCAGGGGCTCCCTCCTATATTCCCATAGTGTTTTAGCTATTTGGCTCAAATCCTTCCACAAATAGAAAATCTCCTGTAATCCTTTCTCCCTATAAAGCTCACATCTGTTGAGCTTTATACTCTGGTACTCTGACTTTCTCCCTTCTTAATGTTTGTTATCACCTGTAAATATAATGACTGGTTTTACCTGAAACATAATATAGTAAGTGAATGTCTGTGAAACATTTTTTAAAAGAAATGTTTGGTAGAATCAAGTTTAATTTATGTTCAGAAGCATATGATTCCATGATAGAATGGACTACTGAGTGTATTTATACTGACTGATACATTCCAACCTATCCTGGATAAATATTTCCTATTCTAACTCCTATTCCAATCTAAATTCAAAATAATAGCTAGTGCTGACCTTATACCCTTTACTACTTCACATCTATCAAAATCATAATCTGACTCCCTCTCCAACCACCAAACATTAGTTTTAGTGTCTATCTCTTAGCCACTCCCCAAGTCACCCTTTGCACCCCAATATTCTACTTGCTTATTCTCTATTTCTAACAGGCCATTTAACTTATGTATTTATATACATGCATAGATATTTTAGAAGAACCATGGTAAATAGCACAGCTTTTATACACAACCTTCAACAACCCAATAAGCAATATAAATTTTAAAGAGGATAATAGAATATCACAGCAAGCATAGCTGCATTTCCAGCACTAATAAACACATGCTCCCATGAGGTAGAACATTAGTTTGTAGCTGTTATCAGTTCTCCCCATTTGCAATGAAAAAAATGCCAAACCCTACTTGTGTAACTAATACAAAGAGATGGGTAGATTTTGTCCAACCATCTTTTTTTTGTAAAGAAAAATAAAAACCTCTGCATCTTGCAGATGACGGAAACTCAAAGGCCATGGCCAAAAGCTCAAACCCCGATGTTTGAACCCCAAACATGTAACCAACACAAATTGATTAGGAGAAGCTTTGGCCCATTCTTTTTTCTTTTTTTGGCAAGAAGAAACAAAACAATCCCCACAATGCTTATTATAAGTAACTGAAACTCAAGGACCATGCCTGAAATGTCATACCCCAAACATTTAACCAACCCAAAGGTACCAATAGAATTTTTGTCCCATTCTTTTTTTTTTTTTTTTGGCAAATAGAAATGAAAAAAAGCCCTCTGCATATTACAGGTGACTAAAACTTAAAGACAATGGCTGAAGTCCTGTAACCTCTCCTGGCTGGACCCCCACTTCAAACCTGATGAAAACAGTATTCATCCATGTTCTCATCACCAACAGAAGGGACCTTCATCTCCCTGTGAAGCTGATGCCCAGTGAAGTAGGTTGAGAGTGGGTGTGAAAGTTACGATTGCAGCAGTAGTGTCAAAATTCTGACTAAGTTGTACTCACAAGTGCAAAACAGTGACAGATGTGTACATCTAGATAAGTGTTCTTTATTCATGATAGCTCCTCAGTCACTGTTACCATGATTGTAACTCCTCATCCAAATCTACTTTACTAGGCAACAGTTCCATGGGGAGATCCATTCTGTCAACAAGCAGAGCATGGGGAATGATGTTTTCATTAAGTTGTGAAGGGGTTTGGAGTCAGAAGAAACGACTTAGCTACGTATATTTAATAAAAAGCTGTTACAGAATTCCAGTCATTGTTTCACAATTCTTCTGAGGACAGAATCATAAATACTTGACTTAAAGCTGTAGTTCTTTGTGAATTCTGAAACAAAATGTAGCTCTGGGAGAGTAAAAGTGCCTTGTCTGCTGGGCGAGGATTAATACAATATTTAATTTTGCAATAGATCTGCTGCTCTTTATTACAGTAGCAGCTGAAACACTGATCAACAACCAATATTTGAATAGATATATGTGTGTATGTATGTGTGTGTTTGCATGCATGGGTGTTTGCATGGGTGTGGGTATATTAGAGAAGCTTAAGTATTTATTTTGAATATTCTGATTTTTTAAAGTGTGCTCTCTCATTCTTTTAAAAACACTACCAGTGGCTTCTATTAGAGTTAAGAATGTACATATTAGAGCAAAAGTGCTTAAAGATAGAATAGAAAACAGCAGAGCATCCCAAACAAAACAAGAAAATATCTGGAGAAAACTCACCTATAATTCCTGTGAGAATTAAAAAGAAAAAAGTCATCTTCTGATGGTGAAATTTGATGCCACTAATTCAGAAGAGCACACTCCTGATTTTATAATTCTATGGGGTGGGATGATAGAGCAGTGTTCTCAACCTGGGGGTAGGGACCCATGGGGGGGGGGTCATGAGGGGTGTCAGAGGGGTCACCAGAGACCATCAGAAAACACAGTATTTTCTTTTGGTCACTGGGGTTCTGTGTGGGAAGTTTGGCCCAATTCTTTGTTGGTGGGGTTCAGAATGTTCTTTGATTATAGGTGAACTAGAAATCCCAGCAACTACAACTCCCAAATGTCAAAGTCTGTTTCCCCCAAACTCCACCAGTGTTCACATTTGGGCATATTGAGTATCCATTCCAAGTTTGGTCCAGAACTATCATTGTTTGAGTTCACAGTGCTGTCTGGATATAGGTAAACTACAATTCCAAAACTCAAGGTCAGTGGCCACGAAAGCCTTCCAGTATTTTCTGTTGGTCATGGGAGTTCTATGTGCCAAGTGTTGTTCAATTCCATCATTGGTGGAGTTCAGAATGCTCTTTGATTGTAGGTGAACTATAAATCCCAGCAACTACAACTCCCAAATGACAAAATCAATTCTCTCCCCAACCCCATCAGTATTCAAATTTAGGTGTAATGGGTATTTGTGCCAAATTTGGTCCCATGAATGAAAATGCATCCTGTGATTAAATTACAGTTAAGAAGTAGCAACGAAAATAATGTTATGGTTGGGGGTCATCACAACATGAAGAACTGTATTAAGGGTTAAGAAGGTTGAGAAACACTGTGATAAAGGAACTTTCTATAGATTTATTATGTGGTTGAGTTCAAACATCCTATGACTCTTGAAGTTCTGCAGAATTAAGTGCAGAATGAGAGAACTGAAGCTTCCCAACATCTCTTATCATCTCAGCAGGCAATTATTCCATAAAGAACAGTGAGTCTGGCGTAAGACTCAGAAAAAGGATTAGATGAAGATCGACAAGATCTCACGTGAAGACCTATTGCATAGCAGTCACAACGGTGGAGAAATTGCACTCCTTCACCACCGTTGTTTCTGGATGAAAAGGTCTCATAGTGCCTTTTTAAGTAATCATAGGAATGATATATCTTGAAAAACAAAATAGCAGAAGAACACTTAATGGTTCGTTGTAAGGAATTTTTCTGTAGTTGCGCTGACCCAGATGGCATAGTTTATAACGTTCCATTTGATGTGATCTTGGCTCTTGCATTTGATATAAACTTGGCACTTCCTTTTCCGGTTACACATAGTTTTCATTTTGTACAGCACAAGGATCAGGGGAGGATTCTTGGCAAGAAGATTCTTATTTTTATTTGCTTATGAAAGCTTTCGAAGGGCTGCACTCAAGTTTTCCCACTAAATACCCACCTGTTGGGCTTGCTGCCTGTTTTATGAGCTCCAGGGACTGGGGCTGCAGCTATATAGAAAGCTAGTGGCATCTAGCTCCACCACCAATTTTGATATTTACTCCTAGGCTTCAGAATTCTTTGCCAAGAAAATCCAAGCTAAGATTTTTCTGCTTTCCACAGGCACATTTTTAATGTAGTCAGGACCTAGGGGCATAAGCTGATATGTGCCAATTTTAGTTTGTTTGTAATAGGTAAGAAGTGCTAGTTCTGTGGATCTTTAAAGGTGTCCTCATGGTAATATAACTTTTTAAGAACATCTGATATTGCCCCCAAAGGCAGAAGAAGGCCAGCGTCTTCACAGCAGCAGGTATCAAAACACTGCTGGATTATATGTGATTTGCTGCATAAGGCCCTAGCCATGATTACACAGTGAGAATAATCATTTCTTAGAGATCTGCAAATGTATTAGTTACAAGTAGTTTATTGTGATTCTTAAGACACCCATATCATGCAGGAAATCATGCAGGCAAGGCATTTCTCAGTTTTGGTTTTAGAGAGATGATCAAAATTTGGTGAGCAAAGTTATATTCAACTATACCTTGAGGAGAACTATCATCTTGAGCTCGCAGGTTTACAAGGTAATCAACTGCCACTTTAGGAGATTTCATATATTTAAGATATGACCGTTTCTATTAACTATAAGACTTGGGCTTACATTTAAAACCAAATTTTAAATCTTCAGTATTATGAGGAGAAATTAAAAGTGTAGTTATACTAAGCAGTCAGAAGTACCTAAGATGCTTAAAATGTAAATGTTATCGTCAACGTAGTTTGAGGCTGAGGACTTAGCATGATTTTCAATATTTTGGATTTTTTCTGTATGTTGTCATTGTTTTTTATGTTGGTGTTGACTTCTTTACTGAATTTTTGACAAGCCTCATAAATGATGTAATTGACCATAGAATGGACCATTTCAATATGTACTGGAAAAAGTTATTCAGTTGATTGTAATACAAGACTAGCCTCTCGATCCTTTGTCATTGGGATGGTGAACCCCCTTTGATGTTATGATTGCTCAGATTTGTATGGGGGATCTTTCTGATTTTAGATCTTACAGCTTCACAGATTCTGCATCAGAAGAGCTCCTGTGCAAATTGTGGCAGGAGGAGAAGCTGAAAATTCAAGAGTGGATTTACTTTACAGTGGCTTCTCTAGTTGACCCTGTTGTAATCTTAAAGGCATATATGTAATTGTTGTGAGTCTGTAACTGTTTGAAAACATGTAAAATAGAAGTCACAAATTTTGGAAGGATGGATGTTTATCCATTAGATATTACTTGTGTAACTGGATCGTGGGATACTTTCCTTTCCCATGAAATTGCACAATATCTTTTTGAGATTTCTGTAGATGGAATAAGTCCAAACAAGTCCAAAATGGACAAGGCTTTTCAGACATTACAGCAGAACTTTCCAGACATTTCATGTTGATGACACACATCATTTTGCAACACAGTCAAACCAGAGGTTACACTAACCCCTTACAGGAGATTAAGACACATACATAAATTGTAATAATGAAGTGTATGGGGACACACCATATCTCATGAAAATCGTGCATTTATGTTTCTTAAAATATATGATTTTTTGCTTATTTCACATAGACTCAAAGGTTTCTGATTACATTCACACAACACAGCTACACACTGGAGCCAGTATATGAATATGTAATTACACACAATTTGGAAAGCTCTGCATTAGAGGGAAGAACTTGAGAATATCAGCTGTAAACCTGTGTGTGTGGAGCTCTCTGGGGAATGTTTGAAACACAGCTCTTTTTAGCCTGCAGGAGCTACTGTAGGAGATCCTGACACTTCCACTCTGAGGAGATTTTGGAAACATCCTTCATAATGTTAGATCTCCTTCTTCTTCCTTTTGTTCAATAGAGGCTTTCTTCAAATTATATATTCATGTGGGCGGTTTGTCTCCATTTCTTCCCTCTTTGCTAAATAAATAAATAAATAAATAAATCATTTGAATGCTTTCAGGGAATTCATATGGAAGCACATTTTATTTTCAGACCCTTGCATGCTTTTGTCTTCTTCATATTAGCACAAGTTTCATTTCTAGTTCCATAATAATAACCCTCACCTTCACCCCAATGCACAGACAACACACATACATGTGCACAGGATGCTGGTAGTCAAGATGGAGTTAAAAATCCCTTACCACCTCAGAATTAATCATGCTGCTAAAATAACTACAGTGACATATTTACTAACTGTCTAAATTTGTCCTCTGCATCTGAATAAATAAAATGCTTTATGCATGCTTAACCTCTAATTCAGAACTATTGATGCCATCAATTTTGAGCAGCATACTTTTGCTTCTGCATGGCCACTGGGAGAGACAATGGGATTCACTTTCATTTGGAAAGAAAGGCAATGTAAATAACTATTGAATTCTTTAGGAATAACAAGCAGCTGTTTCATTTGTCATGTAGCATTACTAAAGAGTTTAAGTAACAGAAATATCAGATTTTGCTCTAGTAGCTAGAATTTACGGCAAAGGTTAATGAATTCAGTGACTGTATTGTAAAAGCCTGCAGGTAATTGTCAGTCCAGACAGTTGTAAAACAGAACTCTCTATAAGCTCTTTCTGTAAAGAGAACTTGACAGAAAGTTCCTTTATCATATATGTTGTGTACAAAAGCTACAGGATATCATTAAAAAAAACCCTAATGAGTCATATTTGACGTTGAAAACAAAGGTTCCAAATTAATTTAAAACACACTCAGAAAAATGGGGGGGGGGACAGTTTTTGTAGTTGCCCCCCCCCCATTTCCCCATTTCCCCATTTTCCCCCTGTTTTTTCCCTCAGGCCTTCTAATCTCTACACTTAGGCTAGTGTAGACAGAATCAGCTATGTAGCAGCCAGGCACCACATGGAGTTGATCTATCCACATGGCCTTCCCTTGCATTAACTGAAGTTGGGAAATTCTGTCCCAGAATGTGAACTATCCCTGGACTTTGGGCCTGTCTGAGCAATTGGGACAGTTCCAGAATGGAAATGGACACAGTTGTTCCCACTGCCACCCCATGTTTTCAGGCTTGGACAGCCCAGTCACTGTCCTCTGTCACTCTTAATGTTGTGACAGTATCAGGCCATGATGTGGGCATTTTGGAAGGGAAAACAGATGTGTGTATATGTATTTGGGGGGGGGGGTTACCTGCAATGACATCAGTTGCTCTAGAATGGAAGGGGGGGATTTCTCCTCACCACCTCCTCCCTACTCACCCTTTACCCCAGCTGATGTCATTGCAGACAATGGAAAACAGGTAGGACCCATGTCATATCTGGCAAGTGCAGTGACAAGGAGTGTAGGAGGGGATGGTCAGGGTGGTCTCCTCAATGGCTGGGGGAGTCCTTATGTGACCCTTACAGGGGCTAATCCGGCATATGACACACTAGATTGGCCCTGAAGTATCAGTCTGTGGTGATCCACCCCCATGCTTCCCACCCCCATCTTTGCTTTGGTATCTTCTGGGGTGACAGAGAGCCAATTTATAGCACGGGGCAGAGGAAGGGAGCAAGTGGAAATTTTGTTTTCTACTATGCTAATCCTGTTGCATGATAGATGTTACTTTTTGGTATCAGTGTTCCTCAAATATTGTTAACAATATCCTGTAATGAACTATTAATTCGTTTCTCATACAGTGGACCCTTGGTATCCAGTGAAATTTTATTTTTGTGGATTCCAAAATCTATGGATATTTAAGTTCCATTATGCATAGTAAAATGGTATCCCTTATATAAAATGGCAAAACTAAGATTGTCTTTTAAGATTTTTTTTAAAAAAAATCAAGTTGTGGATGGTTCAATCTGTGGATAAAGAATCCATGGATACAGTGAGCCAATTGTGTATGTACTGTGTTACTGTACATACACAGTATAGCAGTGGTTCTCAACCTGGGGTCCCCAGATGTTTTTGGCCTACAACTCCCAGAAATTCCAGCCAGTTTACCAGCTGTTAGGATTACGGGGAGTTGAAGGCCAAAAACCTCTGGGGACGCCAGGTTGAGAACCACTGCAATATAGCCTGATAACTGTTGAGCATATATTCCTGGAATTTGCATGGATAGGTGAAACCATGGATAATAGGAAACCCTATTATTTTCAAAGAGACAAATGAGTAGCAAGAAGAGGGTATAGCCCATACAGCAGGCCCTATGTGGAAAAATGGAAAAGTGAAACCACGTATATCGGTGCCACCGGTCATGCTGCATTTGCAAGTGAAATCTATCCTGCGTCATGTGTGCTGGGGAGGGGGGATCACAATTTCTTGTTGCCTGCAAGATAATATGAAGTTCAATGTTTATTTCTTGCTGCTACCCCTCTTTGAAAGGTGGATATTTGAAAAGGTACTTCCAAATAATCCACCATGTTGTGCTCTCAAATGTACAGGTTGTGCATTTCCATAAATCAGTGGATATAATCAATAACAATCACATGGCTAAGGCAGATTAGGGCCCCCTCAGCTGTTCAGCTGTTTATATTGCCCAAATGACCAAATCATTAAGCAACCAAATCATTGGGCTAAGACTTTGGAGTCCATGAAATGACTCCACTGTGGGAGTTCAAACAGAAAACCAACATATTTGTTGTAAACATACAATTCTCAACAAAGTCTAAAGAAATTAAACTACAAAGACACTTGTTAAAAAGTATTATACATATTTTTAGGCTTTGGGGCATTGACATTTATGTAGGCATACACATTAAGTGGATCTATCTCTTGCAGAAGTTTATACACTTGTAAAGTGACTGTGCCTGATAATTTTACGAACTCTCTGAAAATAGAAACAAAGGCATCAAATCCTCCCCATTAAAAAACTTTAGCCTGCATTTAGCAGCACAATGTTCCCTGCTGAACCATAAGATACATACATTTTAAAGATATAAGCAGGCTTTTTGAAAATGAAAAATCTAAATGTATGCATAATTTGACTAGTTATTGTTGTGCAATATTTATAAGTCCTTGGCTAGTGACTCCACGTGCAGGCAGTTAAAATGATAAAACTTAAAAGTACACCTTCCACTTGCAGCAAATAGAATTTAATGATGTCTAAAGTGTCTGGAAAAATATATGCTATGGTGTAGTATCACATGCAGAATTCCACACCGTATCTTTCAAAAAGTATTTTTTCTTTTTCTTTTCCTTCCCTTTCTTATTTTTCTTTTGTTTTCAACTAGGACCCCTACTATGGCTGGTGGCCTATTTTCTATTGACAGAAACTACTTTGAAGAGATAGGAACTTACGATGCAGGAATGGATATCTGGGGTGGAGAAAATCTTGAAATGTCTTTTAGGGTAATTTTCTATTTTACTTCCTTTTCTGATAACTGGCACAATTTTTTCCTGTAAAAAATAGCATTTAAGACAGGCATACTTGTTTTATCTAAAATGAAATCTTTATTTTGCTTCAGAGTTATGGGTAGAATCCAACCAGTCTTCACAGAAAGTTTTGATGTGCAGATTGAGAGTTTCCTCTATTCACCCTTAAATTTGCTCTGGAGGATCGCTCAAATCTCCAGAATAGATATGAAAGGTAAAGAGTACTCTCCTCCCAATCCATTTGGTGGCAGAGGAATATTAGTTGGATTCTATTCTGTATTTTTAAAGTTGTGGGGATTTTGTTTGTTTGTTTGTTTGTTTTTATTTTTTGCATGAGGTGACAATTTTGGAAGCTTTGGTTACTTGAAAATAACATGGCACAGATTACTATAATAATTTTCTCCGACTTTTCACTCAAATAAGCAAAATACCATATATTTGTGTTTAAAAGTTGAAAAAATAACTAGAACTCAACCCAAAATCCTGGTTGACTTATCCGCTGGTTAATGCTAGAAATGCTGTACTCCCTGCAGTTTTGGCCACTGTAAACCTTGCAAGAGAGATTGCAGTAAGCCCTATTAAAATGCCTTCCTGTACACCACTCCATTTGATGCACACACAAAAATGCCAGTTGTGCCACATTTTTGGACTCTCCTACTGTTGCACTCCGGGCCTGGAAACAGCTATGACAACTGCACCACACAAGAGTCCAGGAATATAAACAAACGGTTTATTGTAAAAACACATAAAAGCATATAAAAATCAGGAATACGAAATATAATCTGAAAAGGTTTAGCAACAGGTGTTATCCAAACAATAATCCAAATGTCTCAAAAAGTTCCAGAGGTGATAATGTTCAAGAACAGTCAGAAAACACAGGTAATGCATAAGTCCACAAGCAAGCAGGTATAACTAGTAAAACTTAAACAGGAGTATATGAACATAGAAAACTTCCAGGATATATTAAATCCAAAACCAAGGCTTGACTTGAACCAGAGAACTCAGGCTTACCTTCTCACTCTAACACATCATTGTCTGAACCTCCCTTAAGGTAAACAACTTGTTGTTTAATAGACATCCATGAAAGCATTATGTCTCCCATAAATTTTCTCCACAGCTTTCCCACATAATCTCTCAGACCAACATACTCTATTTTCGGCTCTGATTTATAACCAAAAACCGACATACTCTATTTTCGGCTCTGATTTATAACCAAAACCTTTTGTTGATCTCCGTAGCTATAGGTGGTTTCTTCTTGGAACTCTCCTTATCACTCTCTTCACTCGGTTCCTTATCTTCTGTTGCTCCCTCTGGCTTCTCTGACTGGCCTTGAAACACTGCACTTTCTGAGCCAGTTTTTTCACAGAGAGAACCATCATTTCACAAAACTAAATTTCTTCTTTAAATCATCAATTAAACCATCAGCCTCTTGCTGATCTACAACACCTACATTGCTGATGTATGCCACGTAGACTGAAAAAAGGATGAGGGAAGGAAAAAAGGCAATCTTTCTTTCTTTGGCTTGATTCTTGGGACTGGGTTTCTAATAGTGTCAGGATGCTTTCATTGCTTTTCTCCTCAGTCCCACTTTTCCCCCAGGGAGCATCCTAATTATTTTTCCTCATTTATATTTCTTTAACTATCTAATCTATATATATTTGAGGAAATTTAGACATTTTTAAATCAATGCAATTTGCATACACACACCGACAAGACCTCTCAAATTAACAGATCCTTTTCTTTCCTTTTGCCTTTCTGAAGCATGTTCCTTCAATGCATTTTTAAAAGGAGAGGAAAAGGTTTGTCTGTTACAATTGACTTATCCACAAGTTATAGTAAAATCCATATTTTTGCTCCCCAAACCTATCCTGGACGAGTAGATATGGTATGCGCGAAGACTTTAAATAATGTTGAAAGCCACCATGTTTCTGGAGCCAAGGTTTCCAAATGTTTTTAATAACGTGTCCACAAATCTATGAAAGAAGTTTAATCATTCTTGGTTAAAAAGAAATTCTGTTCATGTCCTGGAACAAATTGGCTCAGTTTTGGTCATTTCAGTTTTGTTAAGGCTTATTGCCCTTAACAAATGAATATTCCTTGTGGTTGATGTTCCGTTATTTTGCAAATGCCCTTGTAAATTATAAAGTTAGAAAATTGAACTTTAGGCACATTTGTGGGAGACAATGTGGCACGCAAGGCAGTGTGTTGGAAAATCTAGGTTCTCGTCTCCCTTGAGGCATCAAACTCACTTGAGACAGTTATTCTTCTACATCACAACGTTGTTGTCAGGATGAAGCTAAATGAGTAGAATTTCAGTAGTTATATGAAGTTAATTGGTGGACAGGCAAGAAAGTAATGTTTCTAATGAAATGAATGAGAAATAATTAACAAAATGAGAATTGCATGTGTGTGACAAATATGGACCATGCAGTGTTGAATTATAGCATTCTACTTTCCTGAAATACGTGATCGACCAGTTGAGTAAAGACAGGCAAAACTGACTATGACCTTATAATACAGCTTGGAATCAGTTTGGGAGGAACCAGTTTAGCTGTACAGTTGATTAAATTAACAGTTCTGGAACCAGTTTGAGGCCATGAAGGTATTCACTATGGAACCTGGCCTCAAATTGGTCTGCATGCTTTGGTTCTCCATTTCCCCTCGCAATTCTACTTAAAAGAAGAGATATGGAATTTCTTTTAATCTTTTAAAATTCAGTAGTATTTCTAAACTATAGAATATTAAAGTGTATCTGCAACTCCAAAATAGTATAAATCGATGTCACTGCAGTTGTTTGATCCTGTGGAATCCTGGGAATTAGTAATTTGGTAAGGGTCTTAAATTTTCTGGTCCACAGATGTAGTACATTCTTCTTAAGAGAGACACTGTTAGGAATACAGATAGGAAACATGATCTAACTCTATGCATTTAGATGACAATTTCTAAATTGTATTTTATTTGGAGTATTTGTTAAAGATCCTTATTTTCATCCCAGTGCTTATATCATTGTTCTGAATGCTAGCAAATTGGCTTTCACATATCCTTTATTATATTGGACATTTCTGTTGACACTCCCTTGCAAATAAGCAAGTTTTGCTTGACTCATACACAGATCCATGTATCTGGTGCTGGTGCTATTTTTATAGTAACTATTATTTTAGGTAGACAAATAGAGCTGTTTTAATTATATTAATTTATTTTCTAATATTTCTAATTAATTCATGTTTAACTTCCCTGAAAGAGAATTCAATTTAGAGAACTTAATTAGTTGGTTCTTGAATTCTAAGGGAAGTTCTTCATGCTTTTGGTAGACAGAGAGCAACCTAATGATATAGATTCCCAAAGATTATCTCCTACAGGGAGCAGGGAGAAGCACTGACTCATCTCTTCTTTGGCAGAACAGCTTCCGCTTGCCACTTAGAAGATGCAGCTAATCCTGAGTCCTATTATAGTTAATCCTGTGCTGATTTGCTTGGAGGGCTAGAGTTTGTATCCCACTGTTAAGCTTTTTTTATTATTGAGGGTCAGATTCCTACTGCACAATGCTTCCTATATTTTGACTTCATTTGATCAGTCAGTTAATCAACATTTTTAAATTGTTTAAAATTGATGACGGTCTGTAAAAAATACCTTCTGAGAAGCTTAGACTGTATCAAATGGGAGGGATTACATACTTTGAAACATGGAAGAGGAATATGAATTAAGATAACAAACAAAACCCTACTCTTGCATGACACTATGAGATGGTTAGAATGTGGGTATGTGATTCTTAATACTAATTTGATTTTGTGTAGGTTGATGTCTGAAGAATCCTGTATTGAATCATGTAATGATTAGACACAGGGTGACCTGAGATAATTACCTGCCAAAGGAATACCTTCCTGCTTTCCTGCTATCACAGGCATTTTAACCTGAAGCAGTGCTAATGAACTCTTTGGCATCCATGTGACACAGGGCCATCTTGTCCCAAATGTGTGTGCAAGACCACTTAAAGTTATTTTGCCCTGCTTTAAGACAAAGTTGGGTAATCCTCCTAAGCTTCCCCAAAACTGAAGTAACTCCGCACACCAGGGGAGTATGATTCATAACTGATCCCACTGCCCATACAGCCTCCTGCTTTCCATGGTGTGAGGACGGGGTGGGGGGGGGTGGGTGGTTGGTGGCCTTTCCTTTGTAAAGTAAGGGTGGCTGCCATCCCACAGGACAATCTGGTTTCCATTCTGCCACTATAGCGGGATTCAGGCAGGCAATGTAGCTGCCCCCAGCTTGGCCCAGACTATTGTATTCTGGACCAGCTCTGGGGTCTTTTATCTGTGAATGCACCCATAGTGACCAGTACTAAAGGCTTGTCAAGATCCCAGATATCCAGAAGCAAGCAAAGACACCGCTCTCCTTCTCTCCTCTATCTATCATGGTGAACAGTGAACAGTCAGTGCCAAAAACAGCTTCCTCATTCTTTTAGAGAGAAGCTGGTTAATCTTCTGGCATCCCACTTTCTCAGTTGATTTTAAAATGCCCTGCTTTCTCTCTCCACCTCTCAGGCCCCTTCCACACATCTGAATAAAATCCCACATTATCTGCTTTGAACTGGAATATATAGCAGTGTGGACTCAGATAATCCAGTTCAAAGCAGATATTGTGGGATGTATTGTCAAAGGCTTTCATGGCTGGATTCATTGGGTTTGTGTTTGTTTTCTGGGCTGTATCTATGACAAGTTGTAAAGACCTCATAGATGCAAGTGAAATGTAAGGAGAGAATGCTTCTGGAACATGGCCATACAGACCAGAAAACACATAATATTGTGGGATTTTCTGCCTTGATATTCCGGGTTATGTGACTGTTTGGAAGGGCCCACATTTTCCCTTTTGTCCTGGTGCAAACTGAGGGCCCTTCTACACAGTTCTATAACCCAGAATATCAAGGCCAAAAATCCCACAGTATCTGCTTTGAATTGGGTTATCTGAATCCACACTCA